TCTTACAAAGCTGTAATCATCAAGACAGTATGGTACTGGCACAAGAACCGATGCATAGATCAATGGAAAAGAACAGAAAGCCCAGAAATGGGCCCTCAACCCCATGGTCAATTAATCTTTGACAAAAGAGGAAAGAATGTCCAATGGAAAAAAGTCTCTTCAATAAATGGTGTTGGGAAAATTGGACAGCCACATGCAGAAGAATGAAACTGGACCATTTCCTTACACCACATACCAAAATAGACTCAAAATGGATGAAAGACCTCAATGTGAGACAGGAATCCTTCAAAATCTTTGAGGAGAACACAGGCAGCAACCTCTTCAACCTCGGTCACAGCAACTTCTTCCTAGAAACATTGCCAAAGGCAAGAGAAGCAAGAGCAAAAATGAACTATTGGGATTTCATCAAGATCAAAAGCTTTTGCACAGCAAAGGAAATAGTAAAAAAAAAAAGACAACCAACAGAATGGGAGATGATATTTGCAAATGGCATATCAGATAAAGGGCTAGTACCCAAAATCTATAAAGAAGTTATCATACTCAACACCCAAAGAACAAATAATCCAATCAAGAAATGGGCAGAAGACATGAACAGACATTTCTGCAAAGAAGACAGCCAAATGGCCAACAGACACATGTAAAACTGCTTAACATCACTCGGCATCAGAAAAATACAAATCAAAACCACAATGAAATACCACTTCACACCAGTCAAATGGCTAAAATTAAAAAGTCAGGAAACAACAGATGTTGACGAGAATGCAGAGAAAGGAGAACCCTCCTACACTGTTGGTGGGGATGCAAGCTGGGGAAGCCACACTGGGAAACAGTATGGAGATTTTTCAAAAAATTGAAAATAGAGCGACCATACGACCCAGCAATTGCACTACTGGGTATTTACCCTAAAGATACAAATGTAGTGATCCGAAGGGGCCCGTGCACCCGAATGTTTATAGCAGCAATGTCCACAATAGCCAAACTATGGAAAGAACCTAGATGTCCATCAACTGATGAATGGATAAAGAAGATGTGGTATATATATATATACACAATGGAATACTATGCAGCCATCAGAAAAACTGAAATCTTGCCATTTGAAACAAGGTGGATAGAAGTAGAGGGTATTATGCTAAGCAAAAGAAGTCAATCAGAGAAAGACAATTATTATGATCTCTCTGATATGAGGAATTTGAGAGACAGGGCAAGGGGTTGTGGGGGACAGGGAGGGAAAAAATGAAATAAGATGGGATCTGGGAGGGAGACAAACCATAAGAGACTCTTAATCTCAGGAAACAAACTGAGGGTTGCTGGAGGGGGAAGGGAGGGAAGGGATGGGGTGGCCGCGTTATAAACATTGGGGAGGGTATGTGCTATGGTGAGTGCTGTGAATTGTGTAAGACTGATGATTCACAGACCTGTACCCCTGAAGCAAACAATACATTATATGTTAATTTAAAATTTTTGTTTAAATAAAATATAGTTAATTAATTTTTTTTTTATTTGTCAGAGAGAGAGGGAGAGAGAGCGAGCACAGGCAGACAGAATGGAAGGCAGAGGCAGAGGGAGAAGCAGGCTCCCCGCCAAACAAGGAGCCCGATGTGGGACTCGATCCCAGGACGCTGGGATCATGACCTGAGCCAAAGGCAGCTGCTTAACCAACTGAGCCACCCAGGCGTCCCTAGTTAATTAATTTTTTAAAAAGGTAACAGAAGGCTCTATGTTCCAGAATTTAAACTAACTCATTTCCATTGCAAATAATAATAGTTCAATAATTATTGAACTTATTTCCAGGCTAGATTACAAAAGTCTTTTAGCCATATCATAAGCAAAATGATTCTGAATGGCATCTATGGAAAAATATACTCTGAGTTTAACCAATAACCAGCTCAGGAAAATGGCTTTTGGAACCTGACACATTCCTATATTGGAAGGGCTCAATAGTTTGTTCTTGTTTCCCCACCCCCCACCCCTTATTCAGTTTATCTCTTAATATAATAAAGTCCTTCATTTGCCATATGAAGACAGTCATTCTTGATTTGGGACTCACTCTATAGCCCTTGTTGATCGTCATCAGTTAACTGAAGATTGAGTATGAACCTCCCATAAACATTGGCATCCTACATGGGAATTCTGACCCTCCAGGCCCTGGATTGGCTTCCTGTGATGGAGAAGGAAGAGGTTGGAGAGAGTAGGTGAAGACATGGAGGACATTGGGATGTTTCTCTCCTGCAGTTATGGAAGGCAAAGAGAGCCTGGAAAAAAGCAATGGCCTTTGGGGCAGGGAGATTTGGGTAGGTAAGAGAAGCAGCAGAGGTAAAATCCATAAAGGTTGTCAGCTAATTACTCATGGAGTGGGATAAGGACCATGAAGAAGGGATGAAGACCTGAAAATCTTCTATCCTCCCCCATGTGCCGGTCCTCCCATCTCCTCTGTGCTCCCACAGGGTCTTCTTCCATTTTCTCTAGGTATGAGTCTTACACCCAGGCTAGACTATAAATTAGATGAAGACAGGAAACATGTCTGCTTGATCTTTCATTCCCTAGCCTCTAGGTGCAGTAGCTAGCACCCAGTAGTTTATCATTACAAGTTTTAATGTACCACCCTCCTACCTCATGAGGAGGCCCACATGTCTCCCTTTCAGAAACAAGAATAAGGAGAACTCCAAAATACACCTTTCCTTGGGCTCCTCCTAATCAGCGTACCTCCTTCTCTACCAGCTTTGTGGTCAAGAGCTGCTTGCTTTCCTGGACCGCAAGTACCTCTCTAAAATGAATCAATCCGGGGCGCCTGGGTGGCTCAGTGGGTTAAGCCGCTGCCTTATGCTCAGGTCATGATCTCAGGGTCCTGGGATCGAGTCCCGCATCAGGAGCTCTGCTCAGCAGGGAGCCTGCTTCCCTCTCTCTCTCTCTCTCTGCCTGCCTCTCTGCCTACTTGGATCTGTCCCTGTCAAATAAATAAATAAAATCTTTTAAAAAATAAAAATAAATAAAAATTTAAAAAAATAAAAATAAAATGAATCAATCCTCTTCAGAATCTCCTCCAAAATTTCCACCAAGTTTTCTTCTTTTCATCCTGCCTCCCACCACTCTACCTCATTCCTCTCTAGTCTCTAAAATCTAGTCTTTTTTTAAAACTCATGTACACATTTTTTCTAGGGAATTTTATCTCTATTCTGGTATATTCTGACTATTAGTAAACATGAGAGAGAGTGTCTTTTTTTAAGGGTGGAATCCTGCACAATATCCTCTTAGTTTTCATACGCCTTCCTTCAAGGCCCTGCTGAAATACTCTTCTGTGCCTCAAAGCCAGTGGGGTTTCGCACAGAGACTATAATGGCTGAGTCCAACACAGGGTGTGTAGCTGCCTGTTAACCATTTGGCACCTCACGTTTATCACTTTGACGAATAAATAAGTTTCATTTGCCTGCAAATCCCATTCTTAAGTGGTAATGGAGAGCTCTGTAGCTCATCTTTCCTATCTTCATAAACTTGGACCGGTTTCACCGAAGAGTATTTTCTTAAACACCTTAATTCAACTTAACTCTACCTAAGAAGCTCCCCTATAAGAGACTCTGACAACTTCCTGTCTTTTCATAGATATTCAAGATCATCTTTCAGGTTAACACCCATGTCTTAACTATTTCATTATTAAAGCTAAGTATCAATTGTAAACATAAAGATTTCCACTGTTTAAGCTTCTTTTAAATTATTTCTGGAAATGTTTGGTAAGCCAGTGCCTTATTCATAATTGGAATGCTTCCCCCATGACGACTAATTTCATTTGTCATGTTGGCAGGCTATGGTGACCAGACATGTGACCAAACATTATTCTGGATGTTTCTGTGAGGGTGTTTTGGATGAGATTAACATTTAGATCAGTGGACTTGGAGTAAAGTACTTTGCCCTCTATGTGTGTGGGCTTCATTCAATCAGTTGAATAAAACAAAAGAGTGACCACCTCCTCCCCGTAAACAAGGGACAATTCTGCCAGCAGACATTCTTTGGACTTGAATGGCAGCAATGGCTCTTCCCTAGGTCCCAGCCTGCCAGCCCTATCCTTCCAGAAGATTTTGAACTTGCCTGCCTCCATAATTATGTGAGCCAATTTTAAAAAAGTAAATGTCTTTCTGTATATAATTTACACCTCCTAATGGTTGTGTTTCTGTGGAGAATCCTAAGTAATACACCCTCGTTCACTATCCAGGTCTTTGAGATAGAAGATTTCATCCTGGCAGAGGAGAGTTGTTGGAGAGTCTGATTAAAGATCTATAGAAGGAAAGAAAGAAAGGATCCTCTGGAGGTCTGATCCACTACCAGGCAAATGACATGGGAGAATGAATCCCAGGAAGAACTAAAGGAGAGAAGTAGCTTCTTGTGATAGTATGCCAGAAACGATCTAAGAAATTACATAGGTCTCTGAGAGGGTATCAATAATCAATACAATTTGATTAATTGACATTAAAATATGTTAAAGTTTTATTCTCAGGTTCCGTTGTGTATTTTTTGTGTATTACTCTGTGCAGTTATTTCATCCAAAACCACAGGGGTCTGACATAGCACCAAACCACATTAAAACCATTTGTATGATATTAGTGTTGACATAGTGCTAGGGTATACAGTGTCTACTCTGCTTTTCTATTGTTAATTCCAGTCCTTATTGCTCACAGAAAGCATTAAAGTTTTCCTTTTCTCATCTGTCCCATAGAGATATGCCCAGTTTATGCAATGAATGGGTTTTTGCAAAGGTATGTATGTGATGCATACCTTTGTAAATTGCTTTATATTTTGAAGACACATTAGAGGAATTGGCTATTTCAAAGAAACTTTTCAAGTATCTCATTTCTTAATGTCATAAGTCATGCTGATTCAAGACCCATGACATCTCCCTGATGTAGCTTATGAAGTTCTATTTTTTGCTTTAGAGGTTTAATTAATGTTAAGATAAAACTATACCTAATAACATTCATTTGCCTGAAAGAGTTTTTGTAGAATGCCTAATGTATTACCAGAAAGTAGTTTAACGTCTCAAATAAATGCCAAGTTGTTCAAATCGCACTGATCGACAACTTCGTTAAGTATAAATGTCACTATTATCTCTACTGTCCTGCATTTTTTTAGGAAGAAAACATTCACACGGTGAAGGGAATCAGAATCTACTTTTATGTCCCTAGAGTTATAAACATTTGTATCAAAATATTTACATTTATAGAATATGAAATATCAATCTATTAAAGGAGAAGCCAGATACAGTACTAGAACAACCCACCAATGTAATGCAAATTACATGAGACATAAATGTCACAGAAATAAAGTAAAAGACAAGGGAATACATGGTTCACTCCAGTCATAGTTTGACTTTTCAACATAATGCGAGTATCTCTTTTGAGTATATCTGATATGTAAGTATGCTTCTGCACATAAGACAGCCTTCTATAATCATGTGATAATTAAATCATATAAAAAAGTTCATCATTCCACAGTTCTTGCTTGCCATCTCTCTACCCCCAGCCCGTGTAATCTGGTGGCCTGTCCTCAATATTCCCTTAACCAGAATGAACATAGAGCAATATATTTAGTCATAGTCCTTTTACATAAATACCAGCAATCATGGCATGACAACTCCCCAGAAAGGAAAAGTGTGTAAGAAATGGGATAAGGAGAGAGCTGGGAGAAGGAAAAGTAGGCAAGATGTCTCACATTCCCCCTGGGGTAGATCTTCTCTGGTAATAAAGGAAGTATCTTCCCAAAATGACCCCTTTAGACAGAATCTGAGATGGCTTGAAATAGCTGCTCCAGGCCAGAGCAATGCTGCTTCCCCAGGAATAACATACATCTACTAAGTCCTATATAGAAATGCTCCTATGGCAACACACAGCCCAATTGCCAACTGACTGGGAACCACAGGAGTTTTTGCTTTTTATTTTTTCTCTTAAAGAAAATATGTGTCTATCACCTATGTTTTTATTTGTCTCATGGGAATTTTCTAATTTTCCTGGGAATGCAGGCACTCTGTTCTAATCATGACTGAAATCTAGTATGCTTAATACTTTACAATTATATAGCACCTTTCCCCCAAGGATCTATTTGGTTTTGGTTTGTGTGTGTTTTACTAAGCTTCCAGAATTGCCCTGCCTCACTTGCAGGATAGACAGGGCCTCTGAAAGGCAATGGCTCCAGCCCATGTCAGAGAGAGAGCTACCACTGAGACTAGAAGTTCTGATCCCCAATGCAGATAATTTTTTTTTTTTTTAGGAAAAACGTCCTCCAAAGTTATAATTTAGAGGGAGAGTAATAAATCATGTTACAAGAAGTCATGTCCATCTCTCTCCCAGTATGTGCTTAAAAGAAACACTGATCGCATGAACAGGGGATCCTAAAAACAACCCTACTGTAGCACTGTCACGAGACTGCCCCTTGGTCTCATCATTTGTGTGGTGCTTTCACCACAGAACTGGTCATGAGTGGCTACAGAAATGCCAAAAGAGCTGCTTTGGCTTTAAGCAAGAGGCCTAGCAAAGTCCACAACATGAGTTCTCTGTGAGGGACAACTGCGTGAGGTCCAGTCTGGGTTCTGACCAGCCCCCAGGCTTTCCCCTGGGATCCTCTTTCTTGGTTTAACTCACCCACCAATTTGGCCTTAGGACTTTATGTCTTTCTCCCATTTCATCACAAATACCACTGAGTTCCACAGAGTTAAATATCTGTTCTAAAGAGGGCTAATGGCTCACAGGCCAAAGCCCCCTCCTACAGGCCCTTCAGACTGGAATGTGATGTTCTGCTTTGGGTCAGAAAGGCGGGATGGCTTCCAGGCTTGGCACAATCAACACAAAAACAAGATCTGTGCTTGCTGGAACTTGTACCGCTATTTTAACTTGATGCAATAGGTCTGAGGACCGCAGTGCGAGACCCAGAGTTCAGCCTCAGGAGTGGAGCCAGTGGTGCGGCAGCTGGTGGGTCCCCAGGCAGTGTGTGTAACTAAGAACAGCTGGAGGCCAAGTCTGGTGGCTGGAGAGAGGCTCTCCAGCTGAGAGAGTAGCAGAGAGTAGCCAACTACTCCCTCCCTAGGGCAGGAGCTCCATGGTAGAGAACCTTCCCAGGAATGGTTTGGATTTCCAGCCTCTCCCACCCTCCTTCCCCTCCCCGCCCCCCCTTGGGTTTTCCTGCGTGGTATCTTCCACTTCCCTCCCAGATTCAACGGCTTTCTTCTCCCCACCCCCTGCCCCAGGATCCCCATGAACTCCTTTGGCCTTATTTCTTTCTCAGGACTAGATAGAGCACGCCAATGATGAAGCTAAAGCAGAAGCAGATCCAGGTCAGGATGAAGGAGTAGCCATGGTGACTTTTGGAGTAGCTGGTCCCATAACCACTGGCATAATGATGAGTATAGATGGACACTCCGACCATAATACACAACCCTACAAGGGGGAAAAAAAAAAGACCTCATTTTTTGGTTTTGGGTTTTTTTCTATTAAAACCAAGAAAAAAATTGTGTAACTTTTAAAAGATTCAATTTCCCTCATAGTAAAAGGAAATTTTACTGGGAAAATAAAATCTGACTGTTTAGCCCCATAGGATAGCTCTGTTGATTGGCCTTGAACCAACCTTGATGGTTGTGTTGATAAAACCTGAGGTGTTTGGGCTCCCATACCCACACCGGTTTGTGTAGCTACAAGTGCGAAGTAAAACAGAGAACTTCACATCCACCACCTGGCTTTTCCTTCAAGACCCCAGCCTATGTAGGCGGGCTGCCCAGGATGTAAAACGACATAGCCTTTCACCCAGTTATGGGTGTTGGGGAAGACCAACAGAAGGATGAGAACAGGAACTCGGGCGTGCACTATGGCAGTGGCTTTGTCTAAGGACACCCACCTCCCTGCCCTCAAGAGTCTCCTGTACAAGGGCATGCAATGGGCCCGGCCACTTGGTCGCCTGGCCACTTGGTCGCCCCACCCCCACCCCCGGGAGCATTAGGTTTAAATAGGGCAGCGTGTTTAAAGCACAGGACAGTACTAATTCCAAGCTCCAGCAGAGGTTCTCAAAAAGAGAACAAACAAGCAGAGGAGAAAATTGTCCAATGCAGCTTCACTGAGCCGGGTGCTCCTCTGTCCAAAGTGCCATGATTGCCCATGGTAAGGCCGCCATACAGAGGAGCCCACCCCTAGGATACTCACAGCACACCAGCATGGTGGCCCCGGAAAGGAAGAAGCGGTTTCCCTTCTCCATGGTGAAGAGCTGGAACACAAAGACCACGAGGGAGATGACGGAGAAGATGATGGAGAGGATCATGAATGCCTGCACCGCCTTGAGGGCATCTGTGGACACAGGAAGAGGAGAAGAAGGGTATTAGGCTAAGTGGTCCCTGGCAGGGTGCATGTTTCCCTGACCACCCGAATGTCAGTACTGAACACAGTTCCCTAAGACATACCTTCGCTGGCATATGACAGCACGTAATCACAGCCACCAATGGTACAGTTTTTCCAAAGACCAACTGATCCTTGTCTATCATCGGAAACCACCCAGACCTGAAACCAAAAGGAAACAAGCAATGGTTGAAAAGTTGACCCTTTGCTTTGAAAGGAAAAGAAATAGCAACTCAGATTTGGGTCAGGATCGAATCTTCAGCAACACCCCACATTGAGCCTCAAATAAGGCTAAGCACCCCCACCTCTTTGTGGAAATGAGGTCTGACAAAAACAAAAGCCACAGAGGTCCCAAGAGAAAAGGTGAAAGATTGTGTGACTGAAGAAAAATCACACAGTTTCTCTGGGCTTCACATTCCTCCTTACTTAACAACAACAAAAAGGAAGTAATTAAATCGTAGTGGTTTAAAATTCTGAGGTTCTAAAAAGCAGAAACACAGAATGAGCAATTGGTGTTAAGTATGTACCATCCATTCGCTCTCTCAAGACCGTTTTAGGGGCACCTGGGTGGCCCAGTTGGTTAAGCGTCAGCCTTCTGCTCAGGTCATGATCTAGGGGTCCTGGGATCCAGCCCCACAGGGGGCTCTCTGCTCAGCGGGGAGTCTGCTCCTCTCTCTCCTTCTGCCCCTCCCCCCTGCTCATGTTCACTCACTCTGTCTCTCTCTCAAATAAATAAATAAAATCTTTTTAAAAAGACCGTTTCATGTAACAGCCTAAGGGGGTTAGAAAAAAAGAAGAAGGAAAAAACCGCTCAACTGGAGGCAACTAGGAAACGTGGACAACGAAGGAAACAGCAATGAGTCTTGGTGTCAAGAAGCCATTTCCATCTCGGGGCACCTGGGTGGCTCAGTGGGTTAAAGCCTCTGCCTTCGGCTCAGGTCATGGTCCCAGGGTCCTGGGATCGAGCCCCACATCAGGCTCTCTGCTCAGCAGGGAGCCTGCTTCCCCCTCTCTCTCTGCCTGCCTCTCTGCCTCCTTGTGATCTCTGTCAAATAAATAAATAAAATCTTAAAAAAAAAAAAAAAAAAAAAGAAGCCACTTCCATCTAAACGGAAGGACGTGGGGGCCCCTGAAAGTAGAATAGTGACCAACATGTATTCCCCAAGGCTTGCTGTGATGCCAATGTCCCTTCCCACCCTGTCCAACAAAAATACTTACTCTTCTGGAAGACAAGCACCCAGAACACCCGTTAGAATGAGCACTGCTGGAAGGACAGGGCCCAGGATGTGTGATCACCTGCTCTTGATTCAATAAACAATGGTATGCCAAGCCCAGTACTAGGGGGCTGATAATTCAGATACTCAGCCCTCTGGGAACCACTGATGCAGTGTGAAGTCACTGACCAGGCTTGTTACCCTGAGAGCCCTGGGGGTTGGGGCACCGAATGGCTGACCTGCACTCTGGAGGAGGGCTCACGGGCAGCCTTGCTCGTGCTGACCACATCCACCAACGGTAGCAAAACGCTTTTATCTGAACTTCAAAACCCATTTGTCCTGTAGCTGTAACAAGGACGCAAACAGATTCTGGAGCCACCGTTTGCCGCCCTATGATGGGTGGCCTTGATTTTTACGGGCCAGGATCCGTCTTGTCTCTTTCCGAGAAAAGCACAATAAAAGCCACTCTGATGCTACAAAGGGCCGCTAGAGGTCAGAGCAGCCCAAGCCTCAGAGAAAAATATTTTTGCATTGTTTTGCTAGAGTGAGTGAATTCCGTGGAACCAGGTTAATCTGGCACAATTCCACCTTCACACGCTCCTATCGGCTCAGAATTCGAGCGTGTCGGTCTGGCAACCAAAGCTTCTCGTCTCATCCTTTTCTAACCAGGGTTCCCAGAAGGAAAGGAAGCTCTGCTCTCGCGCAGGGGGAGGGTGGTGGGGTGGTGCTGACCACCGTTTGGCCAGAACAAAGCCTCTCCCTCTCACGGAGGCATCCTGGCTAGCACCCCTGCTTGGAATGCACCCCTCTGCTCCTTCCGCGACTCATCCTCCGCCAAGAAACCCGCCCATCTACCCATCCCCCCTCAGCTCCACCTCGGAGAAGGTTCTGCCAGAGACTGAAGAAGCCTCATTGTCTTCTCCAGCCCCTTACCACCTCCAGCCCTGGCGGGATCCCTTTGGTAGACACCGGCTTTTCTCCTCCTGCTATTTCATTGTTTGAAGTGCCAGTGGGTGTTGGGGTTCTTTTTTTGGTTTTTGGTTTTGGGTTGTTGTTTTTTTTTTTCCCCACGACTAAACTGCATATTCCCCGAGGGGGAGGGATTGTGGCTCAAACTTCTTTTGTAGTAACTTATGTAAATATTCAGATAACTTCTGGGTGAATGAATGAACAGAAGAACGTATTACTCACGTTGGCAATGGTACCGACAAATAACATGATGCAAGTGGCGATGTGGACCACAAAGATACCAGCCAGTAATACCAACATCTTGGCTTCTTGATGCCTCGAAGAGCAACGAGAGTTCTGAAAAGAAAAAAGATGGGGGAGGGGGGATGGGGGGCGAGGTTACTGTCAGATTCAATCAGACCATTCAGCGTTCCCACACGTGTGGACTGTCTGCTAAAATTAGGAGGAGCTGCAATAAAAACCATCACAATTTCATTATAATTTCCTGAAAACATGTTGTTAACCTAGTTTCCTAAATGCCTATTCGTCGATTTACATATACCTAAATATAAACATGATTCTGCTTCTCAAATATCTATATACTCACCTCTCTAATAAAGCCTGTTTCTAGAAAAAAAAAAAAAAAAAAACACTTTATCACCGTCAATGTTTTATTTTGTTTGTGTTTTAAGAACCAAAATAAGACTTTGATTTTTTTTTTTTTAAAGGCCTTTTCACAGCTATCCTTTCCAAGTCTCTGTGCAACGATGTCATATAAATTTCCGTTTTCCACTAGGGAAGTGTCCATGGCTCTATCAAACTGTTCGCCCAGAGATATTAATAGAAGTGGATCCCTTCTGCCCAACAGCCGCTTTTACTCGAGGCCCATGGACTGAATAGGCTCCTAATTTGCTCCCGGATGAGATACAAAATGTAAAAGCCACAACTTCTGTTATTATAATGCTGCTTGGCAGTCAATAATTATAACAACCTAATTACAGTGTAATGGTCTGATCACCTACTGACTGAATATTTCAGGTTTTTATTGTTGTACCTGAGCCTTTGGGCTGCGTCTGCCTCATAGTATGGACTCTGCTATTGGTCTAGGGCATGATGCTGTATTTCCTTTGATGCAGTATGTCGGTTCTGGGGCTTTAGAAGTATGCAGACGGAAACATCACTAAATGAGCCTTCTATTTGTGCATGACATTGACACACCATTCAACCCTGCAGGACGCGGTGGAGAAGATGGGCAAATGCACAGATCACGTGGTGGGAGGATTGGGAATGAATACAGATTAAAAATGGGCATAGGTAAACCACACTGTTCAGCCATCATCTCAGCAGAGGAGAAGGGAGCCCATTGATCATGCAAGAAATCATAGAGAAGGGAGTTCATTGATCATAAAGAAAGTGTGAAGGATGCACATGGGAGTGGGTATTCTGATTTATGTAGCTGCAGAGGGAGGGCTCCATTCTCATGCTCAAGATAGCTATGATGCAATGCAGTCTCAAGGGACTTCAAAAGGAAAGAGCTGGAGGTTATTCACACCAGGGTGGATGTGTGGATGTCCCCACCTAGGGAGGAGATGGCTGGGCACATCCTGCAATTGTCCCCCTTCTCTCTCACACTCTACCTAATTTAATTGAAGCTTTGAGCCTGCTCAAGCTACTTTCCTATTGTCCCCGGTACTTAGTGGCCAGCACTGATGCTATGGTCTCAACACTTCAAGTGCCTTTTATCTCCTCTCACTTTCCACATCAGGTACTCAAAATCTAGAATGTTCTTTTTAAAAAAAAATATCTAGTGGCACCTGGGTGGCTCAGTGGGTTAAGCCTCTGCCTTTGGCTCAGGTCATGATCTCAGGGTCCTCGGATCGAGCCCCGCATCAGGCTCTCTGCTCAGCGGAGAGACTGCTTTCCTCTCCCCTTCTGCCTGCCTCTCTGCCTACTTGCGATCTCTCTCTCTCTCTCTCTCTCTCTCTCTCTGTGTGTGTGTGTGTGTGTGTGTGTGTGTGTGTGTTAAATAAATAAATAAAATCTTCAAAAAAATTATCTAGAATGTTCTAATGTACACAAAGGGGCCTTGCTCTTTACAGGTCAGGAATAACAGGCACACTGCGGCTTCCACCGTCCATCCCAACCTGCTCCAACAACCCCTGCCTTCTTTCCCAGTCCCAGCGTTTCCCTCCAACCCAGGCTGCTTTGTAGGGATTTGTCCAATTTCACTGTGAATGACAAAAATCATGGAGTTTATCCTGCTGCCTCAGGAGAGAGCTTGGAGATTTCATGCCTGCTGTGAATAATCTCCCCACACATTCAAATTCATTTTTGTTTTCCGAGGGTTCACGCATACCTCCACAATTTTCTGCTTGACTTTAATGCACTGGGAAAAGAGGTTTATGAATTGAACAGGTTGAGTTAGAATCACCTAGTCATGTCCTTCTGTTCTCCGTGTCCTCCTATATAAAAAGGGGGCCATAATGCCCATCACATAGGAAAATAAGAGGGTTATGAACCCTGTTTATGAAACTGGAAATGTCCACCACATGGCAGGTACTAATGGGGCTGCTTTGGCTGTGGTTATCAGCATTACTATTAGTATTCCGTGAAACTGAGAGTAGCTGTTACCAACATAGCAAGTCAGTTAGTCACCGGGCTACCCCATGTTAAGTACAAGTAGTGGGATATCTGCTATATATATATACACTTATATACACTTCACCGGGCAGTGTATATAAACCATTTTGGATCTCCTACAAATTGCCATTATGCCTAATACCTGCCCCGTGACTGGGGAGACTTCTAAGAACACACCCTGGGGAATGAGAAGGAGAAAGCTCACTCTTTTCATCCCTGTCCTGGCTGTCTTCCCAGCACCCCCAACATTCACACCATCACTAGATCCTGATCCTGCCCTTCCTGGGGAAAGGAAGAGGCTGACTGTAGGGAGTTACAAATATTGCATAACAAGTCATACGTTTAATCCAACTTGGGCTCTATAAATGTCGTTTTTATTCCTTTGGCTTCTAACTGACAAACATCCTCCTAACAGAGGGAAGTGATTGAGGGGCCCAGAATAGAATACAATACGCAAAGTGAGGCCTTTTAAATGAGGTGAGGAAAATGCTGTGAGTTCCCTGCCTTACCTGCTGCTGGGAATTCAGCAGCACTTTCTGTCTCCTTGGGTTGCTATGTAACCCTGCAGAGGAAGTCTCACATTGCTTTTGTCCCTTCTCACCCTCTCCATTTTGATGACTTGATCATTATTGCCTTCCACACACCATCTTCCTACTGGACCTCACTTTGGGCCATCCATGGCACCCCCTGCCTCTGGATCTCACTCTTGACCTAGAGGGTAATGGCCTTAGGAATGAGAGGTCCTATAGTGCCCTGCTGTGTAGTGTCCCCTGTTTTTCAGGGCCTGGCGCTTCCCCATGTGTATTGCTATTATGTCCTGGCCACTTATCCTTCCAACCAGTTGTCTGCAGAGGCTCTCTTTGCCTGACATGAGCAGTGTTTGGTCCCTGGCCTGAACACGGTGCATTTTAACTAAGTGTGCTCCGGTCTGCTTATGAAATGAGACCCACTGCCGCTGCCACAGGAACCAAGGCGGGATCTCACTCCTGATCTAAGCCAAAGCCCCACCGGATCATTATTCCCCTGCCTGGGGCAGGCTGGAGGAGTGGGTGAGGTTATCAAGCAAAGAAGTTGACTCTCTTTCATCTCAGATTCCTGTGATTGGGACACATCTGTCCACCAAGGAAAGGAGCAGAATGTCTTCGATTAGCTGGAGCTCTTAGTGTACAGAACGCATAATTCCCTCTGCCTTTGGCCGCTGCATCCCACTAGAAGTAAGGGCTGTTTAACTGGAGTTAGCTCATAATGCATCTACTTTCTCCATCTTTTCACTGCCCCTCATTTGTCAGGTTCCATTAGTGTCATCCATTGTCAGCTTAGACGGGCTTCCATTGTTTTCAGTGGCCCCCCAACACATCTGGAAACAGAACAAACTATTTTCTTCAATTTCTGACCTGGATTATCCCCCGTTACCCAGTCCCTATGCTAGAGAGCCCCCAGCAGAGAAACCCTCAGCCAAAGGTAGGGTAGAAGGGCAGATCTTGATATCCTTACAGACAAACCATGAGAGCCACCCAGTGGGTGAATGTCTGGAGATCTATCCAATAGCAGAGCATAATGGGAATAATAACAGAAGGTCTCAGGCTCTTGAAACTTCCACCCACCCACTACTTGCAGTGTAGCTTGCAGGGAGACTGATTCCTTACCCTGGTGTGTATCTTGTGTCATAAAAAAGCACTGAAAAGAGACCGTTTCTGAACATCCATATCATTGGAGGTATTGGCTGCTACAACTTTCTTTCTTGGCAATTTGTTTCACTAAAACAGGAACTGGCTTCTTCCTCACATCGCTCTAAAATGTTCTGGAGAGCACCCTCCAGTGGAAAGCAAACCCTTAGTCCCAGCTGGGCAGCTCACACCGGAGAGTACAAAATAACAGCATTGCAATCCTGGACAATTAGGTGCCATGCCTGCCCCTCAGAGCATTTGGTGCACTGGGCAGTCCCAAAGTTTGTCAGCTGGTTGCTGGGAACTCCCATAACATTACATATGGTACCTTAACTCTCAGACCCAAGCCCACAGAGCTAGGCCAATCACAGTGTTCTCAAAGGATAGGACATCCACTGACTGTTCTATGTGAGGTGCCAGGAACACATTTCTCCACCCATCACTGTAAGCAGAGTAGGACTTCTGGGGACTGGGGTACTCAGGGCTATCATGGCATTGAGTGCAAAGCTGAGAAAAGTATGGGAAGCATGAATGTTGACTCTAGAGAGAAGTTGAGTGTTAAGAGAAAAGGAAGTTAGAGATTTAGAGCCACACATCAGCTCTCTAATATCCCTTTTCTGTTGTTCTTTCTTCCAAACGTGCAGGCCAGCCAGTTTCCTTCCACCACCACCATCTTTTTCTGTTGACCATTCTTCCCCTTTTCTTCTCCACTGCCCAGCCCACAGAGGAGCTGCAGTCTCTTTAAGCTCCTAGTCCTGATGCAAACCTCACAACCACTAACTATTCTAGATTTGGATTAAGTTCTTTGCCAAAAGAAAATTATTACAGTGAGTGGAAATGACCTTGAGAATTACAACTGCTGGTGATTGGAGGAATAAATGACTAATTAATGTGGGGTGAGGGTCGGGGAGATTACTGTCCTCTCCAGTTGTCTCAATTCACTTAAATCTTTATTGGTTTCTTACCTTCCTCTTATGCCTTCCTACTCCCCTAAAATATGAAAGAATCAAAGGAACATAGCTCTGAAACTACTTTGCATTGCCTCTTTGC